TGCCCAGGCTTCAAAAACTTTCTGGCTCCGCCACTGGTACAAAGTAATTAGTTATTTGAAAAGAAAACTCATTTTAACTTCTAATTAAAAACTATATTTAAATAACTTCTCCTTATAAGTTATGTCTTTCATTTCTAACTCATTGGGACCATAAAAATGGAGAAGAAGAAAGACTGCATGAGGAAAATTGGAATCCAGACAATATTCATGATAATGGTAGAAAAGAGAAAGTTACAATTTGCAGATGTCATAATATGGATTGTGAATCACACTATGATTTCTATTAGAGTTAATTATTAGGGCATTTAGATTCTTCAATCTAATTTTTTGATTTGGTTTTTTATTTATTTTCATTTACTATTTTGTTCTTTTTATATAAACAAATTCATATGTGAAATTGGGGTTTGAAAATTGAGATTATTGGATTTTTTTAATGTCTAAGTAAGATCATTATATTTTTATTTTTTTTATAATTTTTCCTAAGTAATATTATTTTTAATGGAATATATGTCAAAAACACCATTAAAAAAATTGCACGTGTTAACGCAATAAAAAAAGCGGACAAACGGGCACGGAATGCCCGTTTGAACGCCAGTAGTAATAATAGTAATAATAATAGTAATCTATAACATATATAAAAGCAAAACATGGTATTTTGGTGTAGCCTATTTTTTTTAACCAATTTTATCCTTACTTTACAAAATAACTTCTATGAAACTACTACTACCATCTTTCACATAACTTCTCACTATTAACTTCCTATCCAACTTTCTATTATTAACTTTCTACGTAACTTCTTTTAAAATTAATACTATATAAAAAAAATATCATTTAAATTTTTACGTGTGCGCATTTAAAAAATGGACAAACGGGCACTCGAGTGCCCTCCTGAACGCTAGTTAAAAATAAGTTAAATATGTTGGTGTATATATATATATATATATATATATATATATATATATATATATATATATATATATATATATATATATATATATATATATATATATATATATATATATATATATATATATATATATATATATATATATATATATATATATATATATATTGAAAATTAGGCTAAATAAACAGATCTATATATGTATATATAGATCAACCTATAAGGCTTCATAGGTAAAATAAATTATTTGAAAGAGTTAATGTGAAACAGACTTTTAAATAGGCTTTTAAGACAAATCTAAAAATATTAGGTCAAACAAAAAAACTGATAATAAACTATAGGTTAGACTCAAATCTTTTAAGTTTATCGTTGATCAGACTTAAACCTTTTAAGTTCTGAATCGGTCTGACCTATTTCCACTATTACTTACAATTTTAAAATTAAGAGAGTATCTTATTGCACCCTATATACTTCTAACACACCATGTGAATTTCCTTATATGCACCCTGATTTCGGAGATACATCTTCAGACGCACCCTATTTCTGAATAATCGTTGACATATTTCGTAGATACATCTCCTGAACCATTTTAAACATTCATAACATGTCATCCAAAAGTCATTTACATTTGAATTATTCCAGAGATGCATCTCCAGTAATATTCCTGAGATACATCTCCAAATTGTATCAGATAAGATGTTTTTTTTACTATAAATTGTGTATTTGTTTTCAGATGAAGTATGAAGCACGATCTCGAATAAAAAATCGACGTGCAAAATAGTAAAAGATTAATACTGGGTCTGTCGAAAATAATATAGCAATATAACAGAAACATGTTGTACTAAAAGAGATCCAAAATGTAGTAACAATGTAAGAAATAAAGTACAAACTATAATACTACAATAAAATAATAACAGACAACTTCTGGGTGTGTCTAACAACCTCCCATCGACCTCATCTTCCTTCTCTGCCTCATCGGCCATTAATCCCCATCATCGGACGACATCACCGCTACAACAGTGCCCCATGTGCCTCCTCCACCATGGCATCCAAGACTCACCTGACAGCAGGCCCCTTAGGAAAGACACCATCGTCAATGTCTGCCTGCGTAATCTCCACTATGTGATGATACTAAGGCAAGACATCCTCAGTATGATCTAGCTAAGCCTGTTTCTCCTCTAAAATCTTCTGATGAGCTGGTCTCGACGAATCTCCTAGAGTAGTTTGCACCATGTACGAATGTGAGACCCTGAAGAACCACCTGATATACCCATCGACGTAGCTCCATTCGTTTGAAGTTATTGTAGCTCGAGCCTCCTTTAGTACTAGGTGACTCTCATAATCAGCAAACATCTCATCTATATGTCTACGAGACAAGGAAGAGGGAGTAGAGACAACAAGGTGTCTTGGGATGGTTTTGGTGTACCCGAACTGCCACATGACGCGCTCAGAAATATGAGGAGAAAGAATATGCGATCCGCAGGCCAACCACCCGGAGTATAGTGATATGTCATCAAATGACCGCGTCTGGCGGTGATCCACGTAACCATTGAAGTGGATATCCTTAGCAACCAAATAGTCAAGATAGACTTTAAAAGGCTAGACCGCCTGGTTCCCTTTCAGCAGGATAAAAGCACGGCATGTGGCATATCCTCAGTGTACTCATCCACACTCACCCATCCAGAGAAGCGCGAGAAATTCTAGAGGATTCAAGCCTGAAATGAAAAAAAAAGTATTCAGGGATCACGAATTATCGACAATGATTTTGCAAATATGAAATGAAAAAGATAAAAAAAAATATTCAAGGATCAAGAATTATTACCACCAGTAGTGTCAAGCTTCCTTTGACCTGCTTTTTCTTCCACATACATCCTTCCCTCAACTTCAAATACAGATAGTCCAGGCAAGTCACCCACGAGTTGTACTCATGGATCTGAGTGAGATCCAAGAAGTACCGGAGGTAGACGATGTCAGTGTAGGTGGCACTTGTGTTCACAAAAATACAAGTTCCAACAAAAAAAATGTATGCTCTCAAAGCATGCATCCTCTGTACCTCCTGCTGCTCAACATCACCATGTTCCTATTGTGCCATACTGATCTCGTTCACATACAACTTTCTCAGGAACTCAAATCTAACACGAGCACCCCTGGTCGTATCCACCTCCTTCACCGCCTTCTCTGGATCTACCCCTAAATGTTCTACCATAATCTCAACAACCTCGTATATGGTAATCCTCCCATGATCGAGGAACTTCCTCATAATCGGAAGATGTAACAAACACAAGACATCGTCTAGTGTGATAGACATCTCACCATGTGGAAGATGAAAGAAAGAGGTCTCAAAGTGCCATCTCTCCATGAATGCATTAAGCATCCCGTGGTTGACCAGAGTGTAACCGGTCATGCATAGGTCCTTCAGACCAGATAAAGATAGAACACTCTAAAACCAATCCTCCTCCCGCTGAGGCAATGCAACAATCTTCCTCCTATGGTTCAGAAACTTCTAGGGATCACGCTTTTGAAATTTTTCAAAAATAAAGGATGTCAGTAATAATCATTGTTAGAAATTAAAATTAAAATTAATGCACAAAAAAAACAAAGAACCCAAATAATGCTACCTCTTTGTCCCAAATATGTATGGAAGTGTGGTCTAGATACAGAGGAAGTAACGACATATCATATGGTCTTCCTCCAAAACCCTTTGGCTTGGGATTCACATCATCTTTACCCTCTAGATGTGGCACAAGATGAATAAGATCATTAGCGGGAGGTGGCACTAGACCCGTAAGAGGTGGCACTGATGAATCTTGACGCCTGCAGGAGGATGGAGGAAATGACGCGTCAGATAGTGAATCTCGTCTTCTATGGGAAGAAGACAAAGAAGGTGGAGTAACCTGAGATGAATGTGGTGTGGTCTGAGATGAAAGTGGAATGGCCTGAGATGAAGTGACATGAGGTGAAAGACGAGTCTCAGGAGTAAATTGTGCCTCAGAAGTCGACGCCTTTGCCTGACCAGATGTACTTGTTGCCTCTGGAACCTGCTGGCTCCGCTCCTACTAAACAGATGCATGTTGGGTAACCCATCCATGTCTTAGTCTGTCGACTATGTCAGCCACAATGCGTGTAAGGTATAGTAAGACGTGTCATTAGTGCATGCAGACAAAACACACAAACAAGAAAATAAAAAAAATAGACTGCAGGAAATTCTAGAGATGCATCTCCAGAAACATCATAAAACAATAGCGTTGAACAATTCCAGAAATGCATCTTCAGAAACACCATAAAATTATTTAATTTGAATAATTTCGAAGATACATCTTTGGAATGTTCTAGAGGATATGAAATGTTGAACAATTTCGGAGATGTATCTCTAGAATATTCTATAACTCAGAGGTCGCGACAATGACGTAATGTACCTCTTGCAATGTAAAAAAATGATTTGGTCGCCATTTTAAGCCAACAAACAAGTCATACACTAAGTCTAAACTATGTTACTTGTGATTTCTACACATTTCTATCCCTAATCACTGATTTCTACATATTTACACTAAAACTCGAATGTTTACCGAAAACTCGAAAAATTTACGTGAAATTGATGATTCATATGTTATTTCTGATATTAGAGATAATGGTTAATGCTCTCTTGAGTTCCTCTGACGGCTTGCTTGATGAAATTTTATGCTTGATGTACGAAAGCGTATTGAGAGAGTTTGGTGTTTTGTGTTGAAGAAACTGTGAAATGAGGGAGGAAAAAAGTCTAACGCGAGTTAAGCTCTAAATTGTTTCAGAAATATATCTCTAGAATATTTTAATATTCAATGAACTTAGAGTGCGTATGAAGATGTATTTTCGAAAACAGGAGACATATGTAAAAATTCACATGATACATTAGAAATATATATGGTGCATTAAAAAATTCTCTAAAATTAAAATTAAAATGTGGAGATGACAATAGCATTTGCCAAAATAATTAATTGGGCCAGAGAGATAAGTATTTCCAGGCCCATTGAAGAGATTTTAGGTTTTTTTTTTCTTCTAATTTTAATTAACGGATTCAGATTGGGCATGATATGATTAGTGTAGCTGAGACAGAAGAATGGCGATGGTGGCACGTGCGGTGGCAGTGTTAGCCGTAGCAAGACCGTCGGCGGTGTTAACCGGTTACGGAAAAACTCAAAGGCTTCTAAAATTCAAACCTTTATGTAGTTCATCTACACCTTCTTCTAGAAAACTGGTCCTTTACTCAAAACCTGGTTGCTGTTTGTGCGATGGTCTCAAAGAGAAGCTCCAAGCTGCATTCTTGCTCTCTGGTCCTCAATCCCTTACCGACGTCGATTTACAGGCATCTCTCTCTACCTCTTGAAGCTTTTACGCGTGAGTTTGAATTTGAAGTTTTTGATTTGATCATATGTTGTTTTATCAGATAAGAGATATAACCAGCAATCCGGAGTGGGAAAAAGCTTATCAATACGAGATACCCGTGTTGGCTAAAGTGCTCTCTGATGGCACCGAGGTTTGTCATTTCATTAGCTGATTTTTCACATTGCTCCTATTATTGTTTCTTATGTTTCTGTTTTTTTTAATGTGTGGTTGTGCCATTATACAATAGTCCATTTCCGTCGTAATGATCTATGCAAGACCTTGTTTCTATCTAATTCGTTAATCTTGAGATCTTTATTAATAACTTCTCTTATTGAATAATATATCTTTACCTGATTCTGTTTGGCGGGTTTTATCATCTGTTTATTGAGAATAACAAGTGTGAGTAGTGTAGGGAGGTCCTACATTGGTTAGAAATGTGGAGACTTGATCATTTATAAGTGAGAGAATCCGGACAATTATCATCTTAAGGTTTTGGGTTGAGATGTGGCGTCTCACTCTCTTGTAGTCCTGGAGCATTAGTCCCATTGGTACTCCTGACTCTCCCAGACTTCTAAACATTGTTTAATTCCAGAACTAACACTTCGTGATCTAGAATCTAGTCTTTATAATTGGCTTTTTAAACTGACTGGCAAGCACACCGACTATGCACAAGGCTAAGGCTCTGTAAATGCCACAAAGACAAGGAAAGGGTCAAACACAGTGCTTGGTTAAGGAATACTGAAAATTGCTTTATTTTTTGCCAAAGGTCCAGAGAATGCTGAGAAATGGTTAATTTTGACTTACATTTTGACTTATGAAACTGGTTTTGTTAATGCTGTTTTCAAATGTTGACTATGCAGCATGTGTAATAATAACGGGATTAAGTGAAACAGGCAAGGAAAGGCATTGAAACAATATGACACTGAGCCTTCAATGTTGGAAGAGTGTAACTAGGGGTTCCTTAGAATCCTTATAGATAAAATCCACATCTTATTTTATTCACCTTGGGTTTGAAATTAAGAAATCTTAGGTTATTTCTCGTTACCCTCTATTTTATAGCATGCCACAATGGCATAATTTATTTTCGAATCCTGTATTCTCAGGGGCTTTTGATTGAAATACAATGAAACCCAGTCATGTATGTCATTCATTCTGCAATATGCATCATCTATCCATTGAACGGTTTCGTTTAAATCTTTATGTTGGTTTATATTGAGCTGAGTTTAATCAAGATGACGTTTCAAAGTCGCTAGGTGCTGCAGCTAAACATATTGGTTGCTGTTTGTTCATGATTGAACTAATTTGTAGTCAAGGCTTTGGTTCAGGAGTTAATTTAACGGAAAATAGTTCTGAACACACTTAGGTTTTATGGTTCTTTTTATTTCATAGTGAGAAACATTATGGCTTAAGGATTACCCATAGGCACTGTCTCTGGTGAGAAACATTGCAACTCAGTTTTTTTTTCCCAGCTTGTGAGGCCTGTTACCCCACTGGCTGATCCATGACCGTATTTATAATCCAGATGCGAGTTTATGATAAGTGTTGAAAAATGAAAGACTCAAAGTATTGAAGACAAAATATCAGTCTCTTATGTTGACACTTTTTTGTTTTTCAGGAAACTTTACCGCGTTTGTCTCCTCGTTTAGGAGTGGAGCTCCTACAGAAGAAGATAGCTGCTGCCCTGGGAGAGCAATAGAGGCTTTTCAGCTCATGACTCCTGAGGCATAAGACATGTTTGTTCTATACCTTTATCATTTAACATCATTTTTAAATTATATATAATTAAAGGATTAGTTCCTTTATGCTAAGAAGTTAAATTCAGAGAGAACAATGAACAGAAAAGGTATAGTATTTCATTGAAAATTCAAGTTGAGATTATGATCATAGGTAAACACATTATTAAGTTACTTAAAACTGGAGAATTTTTTTAATCAATTGTTATAAGTATTTTCTCTATAAAATGAAACATTTTAGTTTATAACTATCAAGTGTTTTTGACTTAACAATTTTCTCTACAAATCAACATGTGTCATTTCAACACGCTCCATTCGCGTTCACTTGCATCCTAGGATTGCTCCATGTTAAACAATCTTAATCTGGAGCTCCTTTGTTTTTTGAAACTGGGTATGCATTGTGTTGGTGTAGATACTACTGATTAATTATAATTTTTTTCTCATTTGTATAGTTCCATATCTAAGCAGTCCTAGAATACCTCAATGTGCATTCATAGGATTCTTTTTCTCCAATGTTTATGTGTCATATGACAGTTGTCTAGACTCTAGGCAAAGAGACAAATGTAGGATCCAAATTTATATTGAAATTGGAAGGATGTTGAAAGTATGAAATCATATAGTTGAGTGATTCCGAAACTGTGTAGGCATCACTAGGATTTTTTTACCAATATTGCCACAATCTGAAATCAAAAGTACCAAATATGTCACAAGTTAGAAAAAAATTAACCAATATGCTACGATGGGAGAAAGAGTTTGTCTTTCCATTGGACGATCCTATGAAGGACATAATTGACTTTAGGGGCTCGGTCAACCATTGGCCAAACTTTTGAAGGTTTTTTTTTTGTTTTTTTAATTTTAAATATAAATATAAAATATTTATTATAATTATATATTTTTATATGATTTAAAATATAAAAATTTATATAATATAATAGATATTATTATTTAAATATTAAAAATTCATTACATGATTTAACATATTACTATCTTATATAATAGACATTACAATTTAAGAAATATTTTTAAAAATAATTTAAAAAACAAATAAAGTAATTTAGACGGGCCGATTTGACGGGCTTGCTACATTCAAACATTTTCTACGCATATGGTCAATTTCTCAACATATTCCACATTTTCTCTTTTCTTTCTCAAGATCGTCCATTTCTGTTCTAATTTTTGTACTATTTGGACGCCCTTTCTTATTCCTTTGCATTGTCTCGTCATGGCAAAGAGTGAATCTTTCATATGTTGGCCAATTTTGGTGGTGTGGAAGTCCAAGGAAGCTTTCGCTGTAGACTTTGTGTTGCACCCCAAATTTGTCCTACCTTTACATAGTTTCTAGTGCCACTTTATTTTGAATGAATAAAATGGCACAATTGGCCAGAGATCGTGTGTAAGGAGTTGTGAGTGTGAGAGGTCGAGAGTTCAAATCCCACCTTCTTCACTTTTTGTTTTTCTTTTATTTTTATTCTAACTTTTCTATTTTTATAAAAAAAAATAACAAAATAGTTTTTTTTTTATTATTTAATTATTATTTTCGTATTTTATTTAAATTATTTTTTAAAAAATATTATTTTTTCACTTTTTTCCATATTACTCATAAAAACATCAAAAAATCATAAAATTAAAAATATTAGAAAAGATTTTATTCTTTTAAGTTTGTTTTAGTTTGTTTTTTTAGTTTTGACTAATTATTTAAGTTGGGCTTTAAAATAGGCATTAGGTTAGAGTTAACCCTAATTTGTTACCTATATAAACATGAGTTGCATTTGATAAAAGGAGAAGGAGACAAAAGAGAAAAACGGCGGCCGTTCTCACGATTTATCAGAAGAAGGAATTTTTTTGGAAGAACCCTAACAAGTTTGAATTCATCATCGGCCAAGCGCTACCGGCGAGCAAAAAGTCCCAACGGCGGAGGCTCAGTTCGTTCAACATCATCGTCGTTACCGTAAGCTTTCTCTTTCCTTTGATTTACGGTATTTTATGATTTGTGTGTTGTTTTGTTCATTGATTGTAGATTAATGGGAAGAATAAATAGAAGATGACATGCAAGGATTGAAGGAGAGGAAAAGCTTCGATAGTCATCCAGGGAGAAAACGGCAGAAGCCTTTTTATTTACGTTTCATTTTTTTATTTTATTATTCAATTGTTTATTTTTTCATTTATATTAACTATGTAGTTTGTAATTAATAATGCAATTAAGTTTAGGTAAGCTATTTCAACAACAAAAAAAAACATAACGTAATTAGTTTTTTAAAAATTAAGATCTTTCTAAAAAGTTTTTTTCAAAAATTAAATCATTTTTTATTTAAAAACATATTTCTAAATAAAACAGTTTTTCTTAATTAAAGCTTTTTTCCAATTAAAACCATTTTTCATTAAGTTAACACAAAAATTAAAAAATGACCTTTCTTTCACTAAAACAAAAATTAAAACCTTTTTCGTTGAATTTAAATCAAATTTTTTCATTAAAATTTAAAATATTTTTTTAATTAAAATTTAAAACATTTATTTTCGATAACATTAAAACATTTTTTTTCAAGACATTTTTTCATTAAAATTAAAACCAGTTTCTTTATTAAAATTTTTAGTAAATAATTAGAATAGTTTCTCCATTTAAGCATGAAATTAATTCTCCTCTCCTCTTCTCAATAAAAACTCAAAAAGAAATAAGTTGTGATTTAGCCGTTTCATTTTTGTCTAACCCTCGTTAATTTGTTTGTTTCAACTCGTTATTATTTCATTTGTTCGTTTTTGTTCCATGGATGTAATTTACGCGAGGCCATGGTCGCAGTTATTTTATTTTGTATTTTTTGGGAATTTGTAATTTACGCGAGTGATCGTCGCGATGTTTTTTTTACTGCTTTCTTTATTTTTCCGCACTTTAATTCTGCTGAATAGTAATTTGTCATATTTTGCATGTTTTTACCGTTAGAATCCCTCAGAAGGAATTAGGTCTAGCTGTTTGACCGCCGAGTCAATAACCCTAGTTTTAGCCGTCTCAAATCCTAATTAACCTAGGCGTCCCGCCGTGGACAAAAATACCCTTTACCCTAGTTTTAGGTCAAAGAGTCGCCGTACTTTGTTTTAGGGTTTCCCGCCGTGGAATCCCTAATTTCAACCCTAAAGTTTTAATTAACAAATTCAACGTAGAAATAGGAGTTTCAAAGACTCCACATAAGCGTGTCCTTAAGATACGTTTATTCCCCACTGAAACCTTGACCACAATCAAGACGTTTCTAACCTCCCTTTCGAGAGGAACTACAATTACTCTGATTCCATTCCCGTCAGGATATGTAGGCACAAGATGCGACGTCTTGCCGAGTAAACTTAGGACTAACCCTTAGGTCTTTAGGTCACTTTTTCCCTTAGTTCAGTATATACAGATAATAATAAATAAAATAAGAAAATCATACAATAAACAAAAGGTTCCTGTAGAGTACTACAGAAGTTTAGGATGCTAGTACCTTCCCTAAGCTTAACCAACCCCTTACCTAGATCTCTCCCCGCATTGTCTTTACGATGCAAAATTAGGTTTTCCTCTTTTGACCTTTTCCTTCGGATAAATCAAAGAGCGGTTGTGAACTAAAGATGCGATTCAAATTAATTAATAATTTGATATCATATTCTAACCGCAACACTTTGAATACATTTAGAATCTTGAAAACATTTGGTATGTGCATGTTGTGGTCATGTCATATACTGACACATGCTGCGATTACATGAAAGCAAGGTAAATGAAATGCTTGAAACCTCCCACAATCGCACCACCCTCTCCTGAGATCAACGCTAAAAGTTCCTAATGGTTGGCCATTATGTTGATTAATGCTTTTGGCAACCATAAAACAGAATCTCTCGCGATCAAATTGAATGACATTATGGCGGCTAGATTTACTTGCTTCATCGGTCATTCCCTTATTACAGTTTTTCGTGAAAGTTTGACCAGATGCCAACATTTTTGTTCAATTGTGTCCTTGTTTTCCAAACAGCGATCCCAAACGATAGAACGTTGACTTGACCAATGCTGTAATATGAAGGTTTCTGGTAGCCTTAAGTACCGAGTTCATAACATCGCCCAAATTTGATGTCATGTGTCCCCATCGATGTCCTCCGTCGAACGCCCTCGACCACTTCTCTCTGGGAATACTGTCTATCCACTCCAAAGCTGCTCTATTTGTTCTTCGTATTTCGCCCTTGTAGTAGTTAACTGTTGCCTCTGTTAGTGCATATCCTGTAGATGAAAATGTTTAAACAAAATGTTCAGTAAAACATATGAAAACCAATTAGTCAATAAATAAAAATTGAAACATCAACTCGTGAAGATGTAGGCATACCCATGTTGACAACTGTTTTCCGTAGTTCTTTGTCTCTGAACTCACACATGAAGTTTTGCCCAATGTGTCTGATACAATAAATATGTGAAGATGGAGGATATTGCCACCCATTTTCAGGATCATCGTAAGCACTCTTGATTGATGGATGTCAGTCGGATATTAGACAAAGATTGGCCTAGGGGTCACATTCATTCTCAAATTCCTGAGAAGGAAACTCCAAGTATCCTTTGTCTCACCTTCAACCAATGCGAATGCTATCGGGAAAATGTTACCATTTCCATCTTGTGCCATAACCATCAACAAGTCCCTTTGTACTTGCCGTACAACTAGGTTCCGTCAATTTGCACAATAGGTTTACAGTAAGTAAAACCACGAACGGTTCAAATGCCCAAAAAAGTCGGTGAACCAGTAAAGGTGGTTTTTTTCGAGATTAGGAAGGCGTGAACCAAATGCACCGAAACTAACACAATGAGATAATACATCTTTTAGTCGGAGCATTAATGTGTAAGAACATCGATTCAAAGATAACATCCTTTATTCATAATTGGTTGACAACATATCTCGGGCGGTATTGAATTTTATTTTCACGAAATTAGGCGAGCATGTAAAACAGGTTCAAATAGCTAAAAGTGTGGTTGTACACTTAGGACTACGTACGGTCTTCCATGTGCTTGTTTAATTTCAAAGAATATGAAGCTTGAAAAACTGATAGGAATGATCCAAGAGAGATTCATGAAAGCTGATGACACCATGAAATTACACATCAAAGAGCAACTAAGGAAGATTGTCTATCTAGAAACAATGGATTTGAAACCACCTTCGGAATCGGTTAAAACAAAGGTTGCCTATAAAAAGGTCAAACTGACACAAAGTGACAACTCCACGAGACGACCTCCTTAATACTATGAACATGTTGACTCACATTTTACGGATTCTTCGACCCTAAAATCTCCAAAAAAATGTTTTCAAGGGTGTTCACATTAGAAAACCATCTCCTCCACCGCCTTTACCAAAAATAAAACACATTAAAGAGCTGGCACTCTTTATGCACAAAAACATTGAGTGGATTCTAAATGTTGAAGGTTTAACCAATTGTGGTTTTTGAGCAGTTTCGAGTTTGCTCAGTAAAGGAGAGGACGACTACCAATTTTGTTGTCTTCATCTTATATAAGAGATGACGACGCATATGGAATCATACACAAAACTATATAGGAACAAAGAAAATTATGATGCAATTGTCAATGCTCTTTGTCTTAGTGGTCCAGCACCGTTTGAAAAAAAGGATGCGCTCCCCGAAAATGAGACATCTTATAGCAAGTGCTTATGATAGAGTGTGTATTGATTAAACATGATATGGTTTCTCGAAAACATTCTTTCAACTCCTGAGTAAGCCACCTTAAAATCCATCAAAATACATCATGTGTATTGATTGACTATAAAAAAAAATATTTTGTTCAGATTTATTTGAATTTGGGGTGTCATATACCAAACACATCACCAGAATGGACGACACATTTCACACAAGATGTTGAAACTTGACTGAATCACTTTTTAGAAAGGATGGAAGAGTTCACCAAGTTGAGGGATATTGAGAGAGAAACAAATAAGGAAAGGTCAACGAAGGAACCACCAATAAATTTAGGCAGTGATATATCTTTTAATGCATTTTAGTTTTAATCTAACAATGTAACTCATTATTTGTATGCAACGCACCGCATAATGTTATAAAATTTGGTGGTAGTTTTAGGACAATTTTTGTGCTTCTAATTTTTATATTGCATAGTACATTGATTATGTGTGAGTAGTGGGTTGGGTAGGTCTGGAGATGCATCTCCGAACATACCTTTTACTTATAAAAAAACAATACAGGAGACTTTACGGATGTACATCTCAGTAAATCCCTTTATTTCTGAAAAAATAGGGCGTATCTGGAAATGCATCTCTGAACGCACCTTTAAATTAAAAAAACGAAGCAGAGGGCTATAAGGATGTGCATATCCGTAAAACCTCATGATGATATGATAGGGTTTATAAGGTCCTTATTTATCTATAACATCTATAAATAGGGTCGCTTATTCCATTTTCTTTATACAAACCATAGTGAATACATATCTCTATTTTGCATTTGTGTATTTCAATGGTGCAAAACCCTACTTCAATTTCAGGTTTCTGAGGACATACTTCTTGTTGATCTGAAATCCAAAATGAACACTCATTTGCGATATCCATAAAATTGGAGAGTTGTCAAGTTTGAGTACTGTTCACCCTTGATTGACAACGAAGGGAAAATACACTTCATCATGCTTGAACTGAAGACAAGTGATGATTTAAAGGTTATATGGAGTACTTTTTACCGTTACTCAACAAAAGATCCGAGTGAAGTAGATGCAAACAATTGCAAGATCGACTGAAGATATTCTAAGGATGTTGCAACGTCTTGAACCACCAGTTTATAATTAAGTGTAATGTTAAATTTATGTTAACGTTAACTTTTATCTATGTAATATTTATTTTGAAGTTAATTTATGTTGTTGTTGTTCCATTATTTTGACATTGTTCCTAGTTGTTTCTGATTTGAATTAACAGGGCATATTTCAGAGATGCATTTTCGGGAAAAAAAAACCCAGTGAATATTCAACTAAAGGACATTACAAATATGCATATCCGGATTCACCTTTATGCATACATAAATGCATATGTGGGTTAAATTTTAATAAAATAAGGGTTTCTTAGCAATTTCATCTAAGACATGTGTGAGAAAGGTGTGTCCAGAGATGCATCTCTAGACGCTAGGAACACTTGTAACTTTTCACAATGGTGGGGAGTACATATAAGGGTGGAAACAACACTTCCCTTATTTTAACCTTACAAAATTATCTCGCAAGGTGAATGATTTCTTTCACTAATAAATATATTTTCAAGCCATATTACACATGATTAGAGACTATTAACACGCCTTCTTAATAATAATTAGACATTTAAAGTGTAACATAAATGACCCAATTATCATGAATCAAGTCTTGATATCTTCTTAAATTTAAGGTGTTGTTTACTATACCCATGTAATGATCACACATCTTATGAAAATTCTAAAATGTCATTTCTATTCTATGGATTCCAATCTCCGGTTGTACATTCTTAAAAAAAACGACTTCATGACCAATGCATCCCAACTGTGTCACAAAATTAGTTTGAATTTCAATCTTCATATCATAGGTTTAGATTCCAATCTTCAGATTTATTATCTGATATTGTTTTTCACCTTTTGACAATATATTAGATGAAATTTGAGACTTTTTTATAAACTTAAATTATAAGTAATTTATAAATCAATTCTAGTAAGATAGATCAAAATAAAATAACTAATACACACACACACACATATATATATATATATATATATATATATATATATATATATATATATATATATATATATATATATATATATATATATATATATATATATATATATATATATATATATATATATATATATATATATATATATATATATATATATATATATATATATATATATATATATATATATATATATATACACACATATATTCTTTTGCTAAGATACACCCACTTATTTTTATGAAGGTGTGTTTTAGCAAGTTTTAACTAAAAATAATTAAATGCATCTTAAGGTATATGTTACTAAAATACTCATTCTAAAAAATAAGTTGGTGTAAGTTAGCCTCTCCTATATATATTTTTTAAAATACACATATTTATTTTTTAGAAGGAGTGTGTTAACAATTAATAATTAAAAAATCATTAAATTCATCTTAAGGGGCATGTTGGTAAAATACACCTTCATACAAGTAAGTGGGTGTATTCTAGCAAAACCCATATATATATATATATATATATATATATATATATATATATATATATATATATATATATATATATATATATATATATATATATATATATATATATATATATATATATATATATATATATATATATATATATATATCTTAAGGTGCATGTATGAAGCGTAAGTACATGATGTTATCTATGTTAATTTCTGATCCTAAACAACCAGGGAATGACATAGACGTATACTTGACACCTCTAATCGAAGACTTAAGGTCTGTTTGGTTGGGGGTTTTGGAGGGTAGGGGAGAGGAGATAATATTTTAAAATAGTTGTGTTTGGTTCAATTTTTTATAAGGGGAGGGGAGGGGATTAGAGGTAATAAAAAATTGTTTGGTTCAATTTTTTAAAATGTTAATTTAACTTTTTTTTTCCATGTGTTTTATTCTATCCATTTTTAATTAATATTTTGCTTGTAATAACTTAATTATTTTATAATTTATTGTATTATATTACATATCAATATATAATTGTAGTATGAGTTATATATTATGTAGAATTTAATCTTATAAACATGTTATAGGATTAAATGGATTATCAAGATGAAAAAATGGTTCATATGATCATTGATCATATAATTTGATTTTATGACGTTTATCAATATTTTATTTTCATTTTAAGATATTTTAGAGTATTTTAAATATTAAATATTTTGTGTTTAATTATCTATGTTTTTTTATGAATACTTAAAAAAAAATTATTTAGCATGATTTTTATAATATTTTAAGGGTAAAAAGGTAAATTAGTTTTAAAACTCCTCCCCTCCCCTTGTGAACCAAACATATATTTGAATAAAACTTCTCCCTCCCCTCCCCTCCCCCTCTTATGAACCAAACATACGTTTAATTAAAATACATCCCTTCACCTCCCCTCACCTCCCCCCCTTTATTAAAATCCCTCCCCTCCCCTCCCCTCCCCTCACTTGCATCCTAGGATTGCTCCATGTTAAACAATCTTAATCTGGAGCTCCTTTGTTTTTTGAAACTGGGTATGCATTGTGTTGGTGTAGATACTACTGATTAATTATAATTTTTTTCTCATTTGTATAGTTCCATATCTAAGCAGTCCTAGAATACCTCAATGTGCATTCATAGGATTCTTTTTCTCCAATGTTTATGTGTCATATGACAGTTGTCTAGACTCTAGGCAAAGAGA